GAAGTCCCGCAGAGAGCATTGGACAGCTTCGGACGTTCTAGCGGGCCCGAATTTTGAGATGTCGAGGATATCAGACTTGTCAGTTATCATCTTGGGTATAACTCTAAACACTTGCGTGGAGCAGGTACGTAGAACAACAGACGACACAGGGCCTGCTGACAAGATTAACCCGTACGCACAAGCAATTAGGTACGTGTAAATTGCGTCGTCCAAGTGGCCAGCCTGTTTTGCAAGCCGTTTCTCCAAAACATGTGCCAAGAATCGCCGCGTGAATTGGTTATCCATCAGCTTTGTACAGAGCTGGATTAGTCCACTGTAACGCCGTGAAGCCGAGGAATTAGGGTCTTCAATGTCTTCGAAAATTGCGTCCACGATCCCTTCAAACCTAGCATTTTCGCCTGCACGACGTAGTTCGTAGATGTTTCGGACTACCCTATTGGAGTTGCCCTCATCGTCGTCTCCAATCATTCGGGTCGCAAGGGGACAGGTAGATTTTGAGGCCACATGGTTCGAAACGCCAGGTCCGGTCCCGTGGCCGGCCCCATACTGCTGAGCAACAGAAGGCTGGAACAGATTGTCCAAAATCAGATCCTCAGTTATGCTCTTAGCAGAAAGGAATGACCTCTGTCGAGCATAGGTAGCTTTGGGGCCGGTTGTTCCCTGGGACTGGGACTGCTGTATCTGATCGGGAGAATCGGCTTGGGAATCAATTTGCATCCTGTGAGACACGTTCGGAAGTTGAGATATAGATGACGTAGAATCCTCAGATAATCCAGTAGATATCTCGGATGAGGCACGGGAGGCAGCACTTATGGATTCAATTGTTGAAGACTCTGACCTGCCACGGGCGGTGGTACCCAACGCATCTACGATCCTTCTCCGCGACGGTGTAGTACTCATAATTACATTGCACTCCGTTTTATTGCCCCCGACTTCAGCAGCAACCGGATGAGAAGCCGCTGGTTTGTACCTTGAATTCAACGGAAATGTTTTCCGTGTAGAAGCTTGTTCTGATTTTCCTGCTCTTAGGAGCTTCGTCGTAAGAGGCTTCAAAGGCCGCTGAGTCTGTTGCCGCGACAGACAATCAGAGGTTTTTCGCGAACTGCGGTGTGTTTGAGGATTTGGGGTCGTTGAATCTTTAGCGCGACGGGGCAGGTTGGCATCAAGTGCATTGGCACACTCCATAGTTCCCTCTTTGGAGGAGTTTCCATGGTGCCGCCCTGTCGGCTTCTTTGGTGTCAGAATAACAACTTCGATTTGGTTAGATTCCCCGGGCGGAACAGACGATTTCTTAAATGAGATTGTGTCGGAATCTGAGCTGTCATGTCGGATATCGCGCTTCGTCGAGCTTTTTGGGTTCGGCATAGCAGCCTCTTCGAATCCGTTCGAAGCCCATTCAGCCTTCGGACTTTCTATCTTTCTACGTTTTCGCCAGGGCTCATTATCCCCATGCAGTTGCTCATCGCCCGACGACGAAATATCGTAAACCCATTGTTTTCTACCCCGATAGTTTGGTGTTCGATGGTGTAGCAAACTCGACCTGGACGGTTTCGGAAGCCGGGGTGTTTGAAGCGTGCCAGCACCTCGATGACCTTTTCCGTCCTTAGTTGTTTTCCTGACTCCCCCTACTGTGATCTGAGCCGTTGAAACCTGATTTGGAGGTTCTTCTGGCGAGAGGTCTGGGACTTGTGTTCGAGTCAGAGCAGGCGACGATTTGGGTCCTATATCGTACTTAGGACCCACCGAGGATTTCCCATAAGTGATTAGTTGGCGATGGGGCGTTGCACTTTTAGCAGCGGGCGCCATAACTCAATTGTAGTATCCCCTGCAAGAGGTTCCTTAGGTAGGATGGAATGAGGCAAACAAAAAAGTCAGAAGGGTGGTGGCGGAAGATTGGTTGTCCATCTAGTGAAAACGTCAAGCAGCCATCTGCATTTATTGGAGAAATGGGTTCGTCGGGGGTTCGGGTTCACGGCGCGTCGTCTTCCTCGCGCATCAGAGGGAAAGAAGGCGACCTGATTTGGAGTACGGGGAGGGATGGATGGCCGTGGACGCAGCAGGTGTGCGCAGCAGGAAGCCAACTGTTAGTTAGTCAACCGACTTCTGTTTAAATACTGGATAACCGTGCCAAGCGCATAGGTAATGAGATGCGCTTGGCACGGTTAGTTAGTTAATTATTCCGTAGCTAGTTAGTTATTTTTCCGGCGATTGGGTGAGGACAACCAAACAACACTGCGTCCATTGTGTCAAGAAATAACTATACATGGATACATACATCTGTTCTGTGTATATTCAATAGGCCCTTATCCGTAACTAAGACTGTTTCTTTGATTGAATAGCGTGAGCGTTCCGTTTCTATTTAAGCCTGAATAGAGGGAGCCCAAAAGCTGATTATCAACAGCGAGATAGCTGCGGCTCTTGAGTCTCCGGGCACAGGAATTAGTGGCAGCTTCGGAGAATCATTCGGAGCCGTGGCTGGTAACTGGTGGGACTGCTCTTCAGGAATAGCCCCTCCTGAGATGTGTTGGCGTTGCTGATGGCTAATTTTGCAGGAGACCTCTGCATCCGACCCCCGCTCCGCCACCAAACCGAGAGCTACAAACGTCTTCACATCTGCGAGTTACTCTTCCACGGCGTTGGATGCCCGTGCCTAACTCGGATACTTCCTCCAGATTTCCGAGCCGACGCATCTCGTCCCCGTACCTCATATATATATCACACTATGGCTCAGCAGGTCGCAGGTGCTCCATTGCCTTGCCAGGGCGTTGGTCCTCTCTACAAACCAGATGGAGAAAAACCAACAGCAACGGTCTCGCAGGGTGTCGACTACGATAATGTCCACGTCCTCCCGCAAACGCCTCAGCTAATTGCACTTTTAACGCAAGTTAATTTCGCCCCTCCCGTACCCAATTTAGCCATTTAACCCAGTGCGAAGACTAATTCAATGCCCATAAAAGTATGATAAGGGACACTCGTACAGACAGAGCAGACTTCATATTTTACTCGAACAGGATCATACGCTTGCTGGTGGAAGAAGGCTTGAATCACCTACCCGTCGTTGAGCAGTCAGTAACCACCCCAGTTGGTCGGTCATATCTTGGAGTCAGATTCCAGGGGAAAATATGCGGTGTGTCCATTATGAGAGCAGGAGAAGCTATGGAACAAGGTTTGCGTGATTGTTGCAGATCCGTTCGCATTGGAAAGATCTTGATACAAAGAGACGACGATACATGGCAACCTAAGCTTTTCTATGAGAAACTTCCCAAGGACATCGCAAACAGATGGGTGCTACTTCTGGACCCAATGTTTGCAACTGGTACAGAACACTCTGCGAATGATCTTTTAACGCAATTCGTGCTAATGACTAGAGTAGGTGGCTCGGCCACGATGGCGGTTGATGTATTGAAATCAAAAGGTGTACCTGAAGATCGAATCCTTTTCTTAAATCTCATCGCAAGTCCTTCGGGGGTTGCCGACTTTGCTCAGAAGTACCCTAAACTGCGAGTAGTCACCGCATTTATCGACCAAGGGCTCGACGAAAAGAAGTCAGTAAAGGGCTATTTCTGCATTTATTGACCGTCCGCTTATATCTAACTTCAAAAACAGGTATATTATTTCCGGGGCTCGGTGACTTCGGGGGACCGATACTACACATTGTAGGAGGAGTGAAGATCAATGAATTTAATTTACTCAAAAGTCGCATGATACGAGGGAGCCATCATTGGTTCCTGCCAATCAATAACTTTCCTACAGAGCAATTTCGGCACATTTCATTTTGCGTGTGTCATCGCAGCCTTTTGGTTCGGTTGGAGAACAAATGGAGGTGTGGAAGCTGTTTGCGTGGGAACTGAGAAGGCAAAGCTGGTTGAACCATTTTTTATTTTCAGTCGCAAAATATCCACACTACGGAGTCTATATATACCGGATTTTTCCGAATCCCAATTCAATCCTATATTATAACATGACGCTTCAAGCTAGAGTAAGCCGAACTATCATCAACGTAATTTAAAGGGATGAGTACCCGAATCGCAAAGCGATTTTAGCAGGCTGGGTAAGAAGCAGGGGATTGCCAAACAATTCTTCGTTGTCAATAATCATCGAGGTCAGCTTCAGCCTGATCTAGTTCCTCCCTTTCAGTCCCGCGTCCTACCGGTCCTGGAGATCCCTCATTTGCTCCACGTATAGTAGTACCGATATCATTTCCAGCAGCGGCGTCCTTAGCAACAGCATCGCAGGCATCGACCCAATCAGAGTACACATCGACGGCGGCTGAGAGATCTAGAGTCATGATCGAAGTTGATTAGTAGAGGTACGAATAGACCAGCAGCAAAAATGGAAAATGCTCTCTCACAGTTGATGCCGGTCTGGAAACGCTGGCCGCATATTTTGCAGGACAAATTCCCAAGACCCAATTTTTTATCCAGTTTCACTATTACACAGTTCTCATGGTTGCAGAATAGACAGGAAAACGTGGTTTGGAGGGGTTCTTTCTGCAATACAGTTAGCGAATTAGGTGGCCGGCAAACGCGAAACTGCGCGTTCATTGACTTGCCTTTTTGGGGGCTGCCGGTTTGCGGCTGGACTTCTTGCGCTTGCCCTATAGAAGAGAGTGGGGGAAAGGTGCGATCAGTCAACCGCAGTAACAGTAGTTTGGACTGGCTACCGGACTTGAGAAACAGTGGGGGAGGAGTAGGACTTAACTTACCATTATATACACGGCTTAACCGACCGTGTTGTTTGATGAACTCGAAGGGAAAGAAGGGGGCAACATGTGATATATGTCTGGTGTTCAGGGGGTCTCTGAGAACAGTGAAACCATCATGGGACATATGATGACAATTTGAGTATTAAACCCCGAAGATTCCTTTGTGATCAAATAAACTTGATTTGCATTTGGATTGCGATTCAGAAGTATCCATATATTTTGGTCATGTGATTTGTCCATATGGGGTAATTGGTCTTGGCATAGCTAAGTAGGGAACACTCACTCCCAGTTAACTAGTCTACCAAGAAAATGAGAGGTCTGTATCCGTATGTGCATCACATACTCTCATAATCATGGGCTTTGTCTTGCGATCCCTGAGAATTACACGAAATGTGCGGCAGTCGTTATCAGATACGGAGACGCAAGCTTTACCCACCTCAAGAGGTTCTTGGAACTTTGTGTCCCAATCAACACAGGCGTCGTGGATTTTTTGTTGATGATTGATGATGAGCCACCCAGGCAAAACTGTTTTGTCTGCTTGATTCATGTGCTCCCCAAACCCGGTTCAACGTTTTCCCGAAATCTTGATATGCTCTAGCGTCGTTAGCATTGCATTATCGATTTCTCGTACGATTTTCCGTCATGACCACGAGTTCATTCCTTAGATGGAGATGGCGTTTCAGACTGAAGACTGTGCTGTTACGAGACTTGAGAAGTTGCGGCCGGTTGGTAAGTAAAAGAGAATTTTAGTATGCGGGAAGCATATGTCAAAAACATGCTAATTTGATTTGCTCCAGGATTACGGGAACGCTACTCAAGTCCACGACATCACCTTGGTTTTTATATCAACTTCCCAGTAACAGCAACATACACACTGCCGCGATGCTCACAACCAC